AGTGCTTTTGGACAGCATGATTTTTTCTCAGAGCGCATCAACAAAGCCTTGTGGATCAAAGATGGAAAATACATTTGTACCGAGTGGCAGCGGGATGAAAGCTATACAACCCCAAAGCATGATTTGAGGCATTTGTGCTCAGGATGCGGAGCCACATCACATGGAGCCTAGAGATGTTCTTGGACACAAAAAAGTGCATCCACAAACACCATATAAAGCGGGTGTTTGAGAGCGCAAGCTACAATGTGAAAGTACACATGAGTCAATGTCAAGGTGTGATTTCATAAAATAAAAATGTTATCACTGGCAGATTTCAAACCTGCGCAGTCCAAGAGAAACAGATTTTGACTCTGATGATCACTTGACAATTTCATCTTTAGCAGGTTTTGAACCCACACAGACAGATTTGGATTCTGTTGCATCAACTGCTTGGCTAAGACCAGTTAGATGCACTCCTAACGAATTCATTCAGAAAGTGGATCCTTGATGTACATTTATCTGCATTTTGTCAGCTCTAACATTAATTTCTAACATTCTCTTTGAGTCCAATCATATGTGATCCTTCATGATATTGAAAGAGCTGCCTTTAGGATTCACTTGTGAATGGGTCCATTGGAAGTGCATCTCACTGGTCTTAGCCAAGCAGTTGATATGACAGAATCTAAATCTGTCTGCGTGGGTTCAAAACCTGCTAAAGATGAAATTATCAAGTGATCACCAGAGTCAAAATCTGTTTCTCTTGAAATGTGCGGGTTTGAAACCTGCCGACAATGAAATTTATTTTCTATGAAAACACATCTTGACATTGTCTCATGAATTATTTTCTCAACAACTCATCTCAACTGATGTTGGCCATGTCATTGCTGCAATAGATTCAAAATCTGTTTCCATTGAAGTCTACAGGTTTGAAACCCGTAGAGTGACACATTTTTTGTATTAGAACATGTCTTGGATATCTGCCCATAGACAGCATTTCAAATGTTGATCTTCATCGGTCTTAGTCAAGTTGTCACCAGAATTTTTAAATGAATTTTTGAGAAAACTATTCGTGAGGAAATGTTATTATTGGCAGGTTTCAAACCTGCACAGTGCAAGAGAAACCAATTTTGACTCTGGTGACAACTCAACTAAGACTGATGAAGATCAGTGTCCGGGAGACTGTCTATGATTCAATATTCAAGGCATGTTCTAATAGAAAAAATGCAGCATTCAATGGGTTTCAGACTGTCAAGGTGCATTTTCATAAAATAAAAATGTTATCATCAGCAGGTTTCAAACCTGCGCTATCCAAGAGAAACAGATTTTGACTCTGATGATCACTTGACAATTTCATCTTTAGCAGGTTTTGAACCCACGCAAACAGATTTAGATTCTGTTGTATCAACTGCTTGGCTAAGACCAGTTAGATTCACTTGCAATGAACCCATTCAAAAGTGAGTACTCAAGGTACATTTATCTGCATTTTATCAGCTCTTTCAATAGCATGGTCGGTGTTGATTTTTTATCCTACTCTTATTGCAAAAGACACAGACTTCCTGCTGGAGCTCTTGACTTTGAGACCTGTTTATTTAACAATTTCCCTGAAAAAGTGCTGATGGAAGACCACCATGGTGGCTCCATGAGTGAAAACTGACAATGAAAGGATCACACAGTGTATTTTTGACACAGAGTTTAATATATGACCCTAATAACCTGGGAAACTAGGAAAAATACAAATCCATTAAGGCTGAGATTCTTTATTGTGCTTATTCAAGTGATTGCCAGAGTCAAAATATATTTCTCTTGAACTAAGCAGGTTTGTAATCTGTATAATGATGTGCCTTTTGCGTCAACTCGTGATTCATCACATTCCACCATGCAAATATTCAAGACATGTTCTTAGAGAAAAAATGCGACATTCGACAAGTTTCAAACTTGTTGCACTCTGATGGAAACAGATTTTGATTCTGTTATGACAGCCACTTAGCTAAACACAGCTGTGATCAGCTTGCAAGCAAACTGACCATGAGCAAATTTTTCAAGGTGCGTTTTCATAGAAAACAAAATTTATCACTGGCAGGTTTCAAACCTGCGCAGTCCAAGAGAAACAGATTTTGACTCTAATGATCACTTGGCAAATTCATCTTTAGCAGGTTTTGAACCCACGCAGACAGATTTAGATTCTGTTGTATCAACTGCTTGGATAAGACCAGTTGGATGCACTCCCAATGAACCCATTCAGAAGCGACTTACATACTTTTGCCTATTTGCCTCGCTTCCGACTTGCTTCTGCGCACTGAGAACGCACTTAGAATTACTTACATAGAACCATGCATCTTTTGACTCTGAACAACTTTCCACCACCATCTTGCACATTGTGGGACTCAAAGTCTAAAATACGCTATTTGACGCTGAGCGCTTGAAAGCATCTAAGCGCAGAATGTCGCACTATTGTCTAAATACTTCTGCTTTATCTCAGAACTTCTTCAGGTCATTAGAATCAAACTGGAAAGTTTGATGTGTAATCTGCTCTTTTTCTTCAACCAAGTCAAGACCTTTAAAGAGAATTAAATTGTTCTTGTACTCATCATTCCAAGTTTGCATCAAGACTTTGGTCATACATTGAACTTTTGTGCCTTGAGGTTTCACTTCTGAATGAGTTCATTGGAAGTGCATCTCACTGGTCTTAGCCAAGCAGTTGATACAACAGAATCTAAATCTGTCTGTGTGGGTTCAAAACCTACCAAATGTTAAATAGTCAAGTGATTGCCAGAGTCAAAATCTGTTTCTCTTGAACCATACAGGTTTGAAACCTGCCAAGGATAATTCTCATTTTCTATAAAAATGCACCTTGATATATGCTCATGGTCGGTTTGCTTAAAAGCTCATCAGAGTTGTGTTTAGCCAAGTGGTTGTCATCACAGAATCAAAATCTGTTTCCATTGGAATGCAACAGGTTTGAAACCTGTTGAATGTTGCATTTTTTTCTATTAGAACGTGTCTTGAATATTTATTTCCTCATAGACGGCATCTCAGACACTGATCTATATGTTGTTTTTCCTGTTAGAACACACCTCGAAATGGACAAATGTGTACTTTCCTGAGAGCACCATCTCACTGGTTGTGTGATTTCATAAAATAAAAATGTTATCATTGGCGGGTTTCAAACCTGCGCAGTCCAAGAGAAACAGATTTTGACTCTGATAATCACTTGCAATTTCATCTTTAACAGGTTTTGAACCCACGCAGACAGATTTAGATTCTGTCGTATCAACTGCTTGGCTAAGACGAGTTAGATGCACTACCAATGAGCCCATTCAAAAGTGAATCCTTAAGGTACGTTTGACTGCATTTTGTCAGGTTTAGTATTAGTTTCCAATATCCTCCTTGAGTCCAATCATGTGTGATCCTTCCATTGTCGGTTTTCACTCATGACCCAGCTGTTAATATCCCAAGACATCACAAACATCATCGGCCCACTATGGCGGTCTGTCATCAGCACTTTTTTGGAGCAATTGCTAGATAAACAGGTCTTGAAGTCAAGAGCCCCAGAAGAAGTCTGATGTCTTTTGCAATAAGAGTAAAATCAATAAAAATCAATCATAGCAACCATACTATTGAAAGATCTGCCTTGACTTTTTATTGGGTTCATTGCAAGTGCATTCAACTGGTATTAGCCAAGCCGTCGATATGACAGAATATAAATCTGTCTGCGTGGGTTCAAAACCTGCTAAAGATGAATTTGCCAAGTGATCATCAGAGTCAAAATCTGTTTCTCTTGGACTGTGCAGGTTCAAAACCTGTCAATGGTGAATTTTATTTTCTACAAAAACATACCTGGTTTTCTGAGAAACTCATCTTAAATTATCTTAGCCATGTCATTGCCATGACTCTGGTCTGCATGCTTTTTGAACTCTACACACTCTGAAGGTCTGTCTTTGTTGATCCTGAATCCCTCTGAGTAATCATTTGCCCATGGACATTTTCTATATCTATTTCTGTTAAACCAAGCAGGCTTAAAACCTGTATAATAACATGGTTTTTCTTTTGCCATTAGAACTTGCCTTGAATGCAAGCTCATGAGTCATTGCATCCCACCATTTTGTGTGGTGGTCAAATGCAGATAAATGTGCCTTGAGGGCTCACTTCTGATTGAGTCCATTGGAAGTGCATATCACTGGTCTTAGCCAAGCAGTCATTACAACAGAATCTAAATCTGTCTGTGTGGGTTCAAAACCTACCAAATGTTAAATAGCCAAGTGATCGCCAGAGTCAAAATCTGTTTCTCTTGGACCGTGCAGGTTTGAAATCTGCCAATGATAAGATTCATTTTCTATGAAAACACACATTGAAATTTGCTTATGGTCGGTTTGTTTGCAAGATGATCAAAGTTGTGTTTAGCCATGTGGCTGTCATGACAGAGTCAAAATCTGTTTATATTGCAGTGCAACAAGTTCAAAACCTGTTGAACATCACATTTTTTCTATAAGCACACGGCTTTCATATTTGCTCACAGACAGTATCTCAGACATTGATCTTTTTTCATGCAAGCTTGCGCACCTGAGGAATCAGTTGAATTCAATAGTGAGTTTTCTTTTCTTGCATGCACTTACCTTGACAAGCACTAACTTGACTGCTTGAAATATGCTGAGTGATACATGTTTTTGACCTGCTCAGTCCAGGAAAATCAGATTGTGACTTTTATAACTCCTGAACTAGGACTGATTGCAAACCTGTAGGCTTTGATTGAAACATATTTTGAATATATTGTGGTAATGATGTGGAAAAGAGCATTTATGATGGGTTTTGAAGAAAACTATCCATGAGGAAATATCAGGGTTTAATTTCATAGAATAAAAATATCATCATCGGCGGGTTGATTGACAACTGACAATGGAAGGATTGCACATGGTTGGGCTCAAGGGGGATGTTAGAAATTAATGTTAAAACTGACAAAATGCAGGATAAATGTACCTTAAAGATTCACTTCTGAATGAATTCATTGGGAGCGCATCTAACTGGTCTTAGCCAAGCAGTTAATGCGACAGAATCCAAATCTGTCTGTGCAGGTTCAAAACCTGTCAAAGATGAAATTGCAAGTGATCATCAGAGTCAAAATCTGTTTCTCTTGACTTGGTAGGTTTGAAACCTGCCAATGATAAAATTTTTATTTTATGAAATCACACCCTGTCCCATATCAAGCACTGCATTTTTGTGCCCGCCCTACATTACATGTCCATCTATTGTCCAATCCAATACTGCTAATATATTTTCATCATTTTATTTTTATGTCGTGCTGAAGGGTACACCCAGCTATAGACCGCAATGTATAGATGCAAGAGAAGCATTCTCGCTACATTCTGCTGCAAAACTAGTGCAAAGCAGTAACACCTGGGCTGCATTGAAAAAGATAAAACAGACACAAATGATATCACTTTGATGAATACTTCAAAATGTCTAACTGTCCCTATTGTCTTGCACTTGGGTCTCTGAGAATCTATGCACTGCAAAATATTTTGCAAGCAGGTTTTGAACCTGCATGGTTTGAAAGAAACAGATTTTGACTCTGTTGCAACATCTACTTGGCTAAGACCAGTGATATGAAGCTCTCAGGAAAGTACACATGAGTCGATGTCAAGGTGCGATTTCATAGAATAAAAATGTTATCATTGGCAGGTTTTAAACTCGCACATTTCAAGAGAAACAGATTTTGACTCTGGTAATCACTTGGCAATCTGATCCTTGGTAGGTTTTGAACCCACACAGACAGATTTAGATTTCATCACATCAACTGCTTGACTAAGACTGGTGAGATGCACTTCTAATGAACTCATTCAGAAGTGAATCATCAAGGCACATTTATCTGCATTTTGTCAGTTCTTTCAATAGCATGGTCGCTGTTTATTCTTTTATTCTCGATGCAAACTCAAAAGGATAAGCACAAGAGCAATTTAATTCTCTCCAAAGGTCTTGACTTGGTTGAAGAAGAAGAGCAGATTACACATCAAACTTTCAAGTTTGATCCCAATGACCTGGGTAATGAGGAAGAAATACGCATCTGTAAAGGCTGAGATTCAAGGCAAAAATTCAAAAGAGCCATCTGACCACTATTTGCTCATGTGTAAGGTCGAGGTGCACTGTGTTTGAGATTTTTTTATTATCATCATGTTGCTCTTCTCTTGCTTTTGAAAGTGCTGTATTGCAGTCTATATTTAATTCATCTGTTCAGCTGAGGGAAAACATCGTGAGTGACAGAGAACGGTGGACTTGCCTTGCGAATTCACTTCTGAATGTTTTCTTTAAAGATGCTTCTAACTGTTCTTAGCCAAGCAGTTGATACGACAGAATCCAAATCTGTCTGCGTGGGTTCAAAACCTGCTAAAGATGAAATTGTCAAGTGATCATCAGAGTCAAAATCTGTTTCTCCTGGACCGTGCAGGTTTAAAACCTGCCAATGATAAATTTCATTTTTTATGAAACCACACCTTTACATATGCTCATGGTCGGCTTGCTTACAAGCTCGTCAGAGTTGTGTTCAGCCAAGTGAGTGGTTGTAGTTTCCAAAACTATACAGATGTCCAGTCTGACTTTTCTTCTTGGTTCTTCTGTCAACTTCTTGATTATTATATTCCAATGGCTACTATCTATGACTCATAATGACGAACCATACAGTGGTAGTGCACTGTAGAAAGCTAAGTTACAAAAACCAGAAACAGAGGCACATATGCCTCACTGAACATGCTTCTACAAGGCACATATCATTCATGACAAAATGTCAAGGTGTGATTTCATGAAATCAAAATGCTATGACTGGCAGGTTTCAAACCTGCGCAGTCCAAGAGAAACAGATTTTGACTCTGATGATCACTTGACAATTTTATCTTTAGCAGGTTTTGAACCCACGCAGACAGATTTGGATTCTATCACATCAACTGCTTGGCTAAGACCAGTCAGATGCACTTCTAATGAATCCAGTCAGAAGTGAATCTTCAATGTATATGTCAAGGTGCATTTTCATCAAATAAAAATGTTATCATCAGCAGGTTTCAAACCTGCACTGTCCAAGAGAAACAGATTCTGACTCTGGTGATCACTTGAAAATTTCATCTTTAGCAGGTTTTGAACCCACGCAGACAGATTTAGATTCTGTTATATTGACTGCTCGACTAAGACCAGTGTGATTCACTTCCACTGAACTCATTCAGAAGTGAACCCTCAAGCCACATTTATCTGCATTTTGTCAGTTCTTAAATCACATGGTCACTGTTGATTCTTTTATCCTGCTTTTATTGCAAAAGACATCAGACTTCTTCTGGGACTCTTGACCTCAAGACCTGTTTTTCTAGCAATTGCTCTGAAAAAGTGCAGATGGCAGACCACCACGGTGTAGAGACTAACATCTCTGTGGCCTCATAGAGGTCTAATTCCCCAATGTTCCAATCACCTTCCAAGTACAGCGCAACTCATATCTCATTTTCGCGCTCTTGGCACTTCATCAGCTGCCTGCACATACAAGCACTTCTGATGCGCATCAGCACACGCATCCTCGGTTCCATCACTTGTCCTCCATCTATTCATTCCATGTCTGTTCAGTTCGTCAGTGCGTATTCTTATCATATTTCCATTTATTCTGATATATCTCTGGCGCTTGTGTATGTTGTATTATGGACCCTTATATTACATGCTATCACGTACTCGCTTTGCTTTAGCACTACTTGGATAGAGTATATATACTCCCATCTTTCTGTATGATGATTATCTTTTTCTCCCCCATATCATTGGAGTCTAAGTCAAAATTCCCCATAATAAACCACTGACCGATACTAAGCACCTGAATATATACATATATATATATATGAGCGCCAGTCGTGCATCTCACTAGAACGTCTGTTTACTTGTCTTCCAACTCAGTTAGAGTTGCTGCACTCCAACCATCTAATGAGCGCTGTCGCACTTCATTGCTCAGCAGTGCTTCACAGTGCTCTCGCTCTTTCACATGCCTTACTAGGCTTGACTAAGCGCCTGGTTCAGTGTTTTCCCTCCATTATATACATAGAGGAACCTTCTCAGTAGCAATCCCCTTGGGCCGACATTAGCTCATGCACCTCATATGACCCATTTACCTATCCTTCACATTTCTCATCTACAATAGTAAGTCCATGAGTGAAACCTGACAATGAAATGATCACACAGTGTATTTTTGACACAGAGTTCAATATATGACCAAAGTTGTGATGCAAACTCAGAAGGATGAGTACAATAAGAATATAATTCTTTTTAAAGGTCTTGAGAAGAAAAAGAGCAGATTACACATCAAACTTTCAAGTTTGATCCTAATAACCTGCGGAATTAGGAAAAATACAAATATATTAAGGCTGAGATTTTTTATTGTGCTTATTCAAGTGATTGCCAGAGTCAACATATATGTCTCTTGAACTAAGCAGGTTTGTAATCTGTGTGATGATATGTCTTTTGCATCAACTTATGATTCATCATATTCCACCATTTTGGATTTTATAGAATAAAAATGTTGTTATTGGATCAATGAAGATCAATGTCTGAGATGCTGTCTATGAGCAAATATTCAGGACACATTCTTAGAGAAAAAATGTGACATTCAACAAGTTTCAAACTTGTTGCACTCTGATGGAAACAGATTTTGATTCTGTTATGACAGCCACTTAGCTAAACACAACTGTGATCAGCTTGCAAGCAAACTGGCCACAAGCAAATTTTAAGGTGTGTTTTCATAGAAAATAAAATTTATCACTCAGTGGCAGGTTTCAAACCTACATAGTCCAAGAGAAATGGATTTTGACCACTTGGCAAATTCATCTTTAGCAGGTTTTTTGAACCCACACAGACAGATTTAGATTTTGTTGTATCAACTGCTTGGCCAAGACCAGTTAGATGAGCTGCCAATGAACTCATTCAGAAGCGACTTACATATTTTTTTGCATATTTGCTGCACTTCTGACTTGCTTCTGCGCACTGAGAACACACTTAGAATTTGTCGAGAAGTGGTTATAGCATGGTGGAATTTAGACTTAGAGTTGAATGATCTGCAGGATGGTAGTGGAAACTTGTTAAGAGGTAAATAATACATGGTGCTATGTAAGTAATTCTCATTGCGATCTCAGAGCATGGAAGCAAGTCAGAAGTGAAGCAAATATGTAAGTAAGTGTCCATGACATAAAGATGCAATATGTTTGCGCATAGTGCCAGAGATGTTGTCAGAATACATGGGAATAGAATGGCAATATGCACTGACAAACCAAAACATGCATGGAATGGACAGAAAGAGGACAAGTGATCGAGCTGAAGGTGCACACACTGATGCGCAACAAAAGTGCTTGTGCTACTAAGTGCGCGCTGAAGCACCAAGTGCGCCAAATGAAATACAACACAGGTCACACTGTGCTATGGAAGTGCATAGAATGATGTGAGTCTCTACAATGCAACCGAACATGTTGTAAAGTATTGATTGTATTGCCATTTGGTCTTGTATAGAAATGGACAATAATATATAAAGCTGGGACAGTGGGCGCAGTTGCAGTAGGTTTTGTGTTGTATAGATTTGACCTACAAAGTACAAGATAAACAGATTTTTACTTTGGTGACAGTGTGAAGAAGTAATAATAGCTGGCTGGCAAGAAAGCTAGAGCACCAATGAAATCCTACTGAGTGCGGGTGTGCTATATCGACCCAAGAGGATTGCTATGAAGCACTTCCTTCAAGTAAAATGTGAAGGGAGCAAATGCAAAATGGAAGAGAATGAATGTGAATCCCGCTGGTGCAAGCAAAGGCGAGACCGCAGGTCCAGTAAAAGTGCAATGAGAAATGAACAAAAGCAAGAGGTTTTCAGGTAAGGAGTGGCGGGCACTAGGTAAAGTGTGGTTCCACGGATAGCAGCTAGGCATAGACAAGGTTTAGGGCCGAGGTATAACTAAGTATAGAATGCTAAGTTGGAACCCGAGAGTGGTTTGGATCCATGCAGAGCCTATGTAAGGAAACTTAGAGGCGCATTCTCAGAGTGGTCAAGAATATGCAGGTTCAAGGTGAGGATGAACAAAGCCTGTCAATTGCACAA